TTTTTTACTTTTTACATTGAGATTGTATTTTGTAAACAATACTATTCACTTGAAAAGCAGGAAACAAACCAAACCAGTAAAATGAAGGAAAAGAAAAATTACATGGTACTAACTCTTTGTACCATTAGACATACTAATGTTGGCTATTGTCCTTGTTCAGACTTGAAAACCACCAAAGGGCCATCTAAATAATGACACCTTATTGCATTAAACCAACTATAACATCTGGATGCACAGATCAACATTAGAAGGTGAGGGATTTAGTCTGTTTGGCGAATGCATGGTTTGGTTTGGGTTTTGTTCAGTAGACAACAAGGAGTGTGTGTGTGTGTGTGTGTGTGTGTGTATAAATAAAAAAACTTGGGGTAAAACTTTATTTAAATTCTGTCCTGAATCAGGACACGTGCAACAACTGAAACACAGAAACAACATGGCGTCATGCCGCCTTGTATTTACACGTGTGTGTATGTGCATTTGTTTTATGTTTGCGTGCATGGGACAAACACACACACACACACACACACACACACACTCTCTGGAAAACACACTCTCTCTTTCTCTCTGGAAAACAAAAATCCACGTCAATATTGAAGAAACGCACAAACGATCTCATCGCAACCATCACGGCGGCTACAAAGCACATGAAATACCTCAGCTTTGTGAAAGGTTGGATTTCCTCCTCTCTCTAAACTGTGAGAACAAAAACAGAAATGTATTTAAAGTAACCTAAAATCAGCAATCTATAAACATGGCTCAGGGATCATCTGCTTCAACACAAAAAAATAAAAAGAAGGTTAGGGACTTGGAACAAAAAGTCACAAAATCTAAAAGAGCAGATAACAAAAAAGGCAAAAACAGAAGCAGGAAACATGGAAAGACACAAAACAGAAGTGAGGTGAAGTTGAAGGAGGAGTAGACTTTTGTACAGAAGCCAAACAAATGCAACGCAAGAAGGGGGAAAAAAAAAACAAAAACTGGGCAACCAATCAAACCACAGCGTACAAGAAAAATACCTAAACAAAAGAGCCAATCAGACGTCATTACTGGCAGTGACACAACAGTCCCCCTTTTGACTTTTTGAAAAACTCCTTTTCCCCCCCTCTGTCTTCTAAAGGACCTTAACTTCCCCGTGTCATACGTATACTTACTGCCAATCACAAGGTTTGTATCGTGGAATCACAGCCTCCTAATCTCATTTATGATTTGTAGTCTTCAACATCAATGTGCAACATTCTCATATTTAGATGATTACCTCAAAATTAAACCTTTGTGACCACAAAAAGCAAGTTTATTGAGATTACATTGTTTCTTTTGTATTCTCATTTCAAATAATTACATGAAGCTGATTACAAAAATTTATTATTAATTAAAACGTAGGTCCAAAACGAGGGTTGCAATTTTCTGTCCATGTCTTCAACAGCAGGAAATGTCAAAGCTCCAGAAGTTTTCAGGTTTTGTTCCCTGTCTGATGATGAATCAATTCATCATTTTTAATTAGGAAATAATCTTTATTAAAGCATTCGTATTAAATTTAATGTGAGCAAGAAAAGAAATATTTGGGAAAATTAAGTTAATTTGAAATAATGTATTAATGGGAAATGAAAGGTGGGTATCATTTAAAATACTTTTTGACTCTAGTGATAATGCAAAAGAAAAAAATGTAAGGGGCTGCATACACAGTTATTATTTTTATTTTTTATCGATTAATCTAAAAAAAATATATATATATTTTCCTTCCTATGAAAAGGCCGAGCCGCTGTCAAGAGCATGCCAAAGTAACCTGTGGTGATATTACCCGAATTTTATAAAAAAAAGTTGGCCGATCTGACGTCGAAACAGGGGATCAGAAGTACACGATGATGCCAAAAGACAAAGTCTGCTTTTCTTCTCAACACCTAAAAGCAGAAATCCTGCTTTTATTTATTTAATAAAAGTTCAGTTTTCTGTGACCTAAAATGCCATTTACATAAAATTAATAGATATTTCTCTAAACATTTGGGTACATGACGGCAGGGCCTTTAAGAGGCTATTAATATGGTGCTGCCAGAAATTCTGCTGCTGCTCTTCCATCCCTAAAAATCTCAATTTTGGATGTTTTAAAACAGCTCATGGTGCTTTAAAGTTATTTCATTACAACTGAC